TGGGTTGTCCCCCCCACCCCCTAAGAGATCACACATCTCAGATGTCGGACCCCTCCCCCTCCCAAGCTCCTGAAACCCTCCACGAGGTCCCTGACACTCAAGGTCAACCGTGAGCAGCACGTCCCACATCACAACCACGCCTGCGGTATCCCCTGTCCTTTCCCCGTGGAAACCCCACGTCTCCTGAAGAGCTGGGACCAGGAAGTCCTCCCAAGCGGTCAACATTCTGCTTCCACAGCCCAGGTGGCCCTGGACCTGGAGCTGGACCATACGCCATATACCTGCTTGCAGGATATGTTTGCTCTTTCTCCCTAAACCCTCCCAGCTGGTCACCTCTGCTCCTCAGAACCTCGCCCCTTCCTCCTTGAGATCCTCCACTGTGGTCAGCTCCAGCCACATGAAGGCTCCCTGTCAGGCTCTCTGAGTCCACATGCATCTCGGTTCTTGCTGATCCTTTGAATGTTGGTCTCAGTACGTTCCCTGCCCCCTCTTCCAAAAATCCACTCCCGCTCAGCCACCCATTCTCACCGTCGCCCTTGATCCTCTCTCTACCAGGAAGTGGGTACCACCCAGAGCTGCCCTCCTGATGCCTGATGCCCCGTGCTCCCACCTTAACGTCTGTATTTCCTGGTCACGTGGTTGAACACCTTCACTCCAACCACTCGCTGGTCCCCCAGGACCGCGAGGCCTCTGATCTCGCTGTTCTCTCTCCTTTCTCAGCCTCTCTGCGCCCTCAACTGTCCCCTTGTCATCCTCAGGTCCCATGGCCCTCATTTATTGATTGATTGACTGGCCACGTCATCACTTAAATCACCCTCGCACGTGCCGAAACTCCAGTGTCAATCTCTTGAATCAAATCTGAACCAAACGCACATGTCCCCCCATGGGTGTGTGTGGCTGGAGAAAAACCAAAACCAAAACCACAGGCTCGTGGGTCTAGCTCCGTGGTCGGCAAACTGCGGCTCGAGAGCCACAGGCGGCTCTTTGGCCCCTTGAATGTGGCTCTTCCTAAGCCTTAGGAGTCCCCTAATTAAGTTAACAACAATGTACCTATCTATATAGTTTAAGTTTTAAACATCTGGCTCTCAAAAGGAATTTCAATCGTTGTACTGTTGATATTTGGCTCTGCTGACTAATGAGTTTGCCGGCCACTGTCCTAGCTGTAAACGATGGCGCCCCTACTCCACGTCCCTCCTCTGAGCCGTCCTCCCTGGCGATGTCCATGTCCACCTCCTTCCTCACCCGGTGGCGCCTCCTGCCACATCCGCACTCCCCGGCGCGGTGTTTCCTACCACTGAACAGACGCACCATTCGGAGCAGCCTGACCATGTGCCACCACCTTCTGATCGCCTGCGCACTCCCGCCGACAGAAGTCCTTCCTGCGTGAACGGACACGCTCCGGCCCAGGATTCCCCCGCAGTCGGGTTCTTGCTTTCATCCCTGACCAGGATCCTCAGCCAAAGCTGTGCCACTCTCCCCTCTCGAACGGTCACTCCCCTTTCATCGGGGACCGTTCTTAGCTGCAAACCCATAACTGTCCACAGTCCGTGCGTCTAAACAGCTTCTCTAAGGTGAGTGCACACCTCGCCTGTTCACACCTGTTGCTGGCCATGAATCTGAAGGGCGCACCCCGAAACCTAGAAGAAAACACCTTTACCTCCGGAGCCCACATCTCCCTCCCACCTTGTTTCCCAAACCCCTTTCCCAGCGACACCCCTGAGGAAGGCCCACAGCTGCAGGCCTTCATCCCCCTTCCCCTCTGGGCCCTCTCAGCCACGACCGGTCCTCACTGGCCACCGCACCTGCTCTTCGCAAGAGAGCCCTCAGCCTTCACCTTCCGTCAGTGCTCAGCACCGTGGTCAGTCCTCCATCTCCGCTTCCTCAAAAGACTTTATTGCTGGACGTTTCACACTTTCCCGGGATCTCAGAATAGGAGCAAATCCGTAGGAAGCTGCAGATGGAGTGGAGGGGTCCCGTGTACCCTCCTGCTGTGCCCCCCCATGATTTCTGCTTCCCTCCGTGTACACAGGCAAGACCAGAGTGAGCGTCCATGGCCGCCGTACGCAGACAGAGTTCTGTTCACCGCTGTTTCCATTCACGGCTCACGTGGCTTCTCATCTCCTCGCCTCTCCTCAGCGTCCTCGTCAGTTTCCTTCCATCTCCAGCCTCAGCGTCCGTCCTCGCACCTCATCCCTGTGGACCCCGCCCAGGCTCCACTGTCCGGATTTAAATGCCATGTGGGTGCTGGTGTTTTGGAATTTTCTAGTTCACTTCTAGATCCCCCTCCTGAATGTCAGCATCCTCCTCCCAGCGACCCGCATGCCACAGTGTGGGGATGACTGAGGAGCGTTCTAGGCCCAGTGGTCCCACATCCAATTCTCCGTCTTCCCCTTCCCAAGTCTGAAACTGTCGGCCTTCTCACTCCCAGGGATGCCAGCTCCACCTTCCCGTGGCGACAGAGACAAAGCCGCCGCGGGCCGGCTGACCGCCCCGTGTCTCTCAGACCCTGGAGCTCCTAGAAACACGAGCCTCGAGCTCCTCTTTCTAAACCATGCTCAGAAGCCAGTGGCATCGCCAGCCTCACCACTCCAAGGGACCCCGCCCATCCTGACGGCTGCCATGGCGTCCTGCAGGCTTGCCACTTGCCCTGCCCCCTCTATGTTCTTTCCTCAAAAGAGCAGCCAGAGCCCTGGCCAGTTTGGCTCAGTGGATAGAGCGTCAGCCTGCAGACTGAAGGGTCCTGGGTTCGATTCCAGTCAAGGGCACATGCCTCGGTTGCAAGCTCGATCCCCTGCCCTGGGCCCTGGGCCTGGTGTGTGTGGGAGGCAACCAATCCATGTGTCTCTCTCACATTGATGTCTCTCTCCCTCTCCCTCTCCCCTTTGCTCTGAAATCAATAAAAAAATATAATTTTAGAAGGAAAGACCACATCACGGTGGACGTAAAGGTATGCGTTAACGCTCAGAAAATGCAGCCTCGAGAGGAGGCTGGCCCCTGATAAATGGTGATCAACGGTGCAGAGGCTGAGAGGGTCCGAGGAGAAAGATGGAAGCATCTCTGGGGATTTACGGAGCATCGCTACATGTGTTCCTGACTTTACACACAGTTTCTTGGTAACAGAACACGACTTTGGGGAACAGAATGGATGACCTGGGGAGGGCCAGCAGGCGAATCCCCTGTCATCAGCAGAAATGGACAAGGCCAACCCCTGGGGCCGGTGACCTACCTCTGCAGAAGGGGGCCGGGAAGTCCCAGGTGGCGCCACTCCCGGGGCTGACGATGCAGGTGAGCGTCGCATGGCCCTCCAGAACGTAGCCGGCCAGGCAGCTGTAGCGGATCTTGTCGCCGATGTTGAACCTGGACCCGTGCAGCACTCCTTTCAGGATGTCCCCGGGGTTCCCGCACGTGTGGCTGGGCAGCACTGGGGAGGAGAAAGGAAAGGACAGTGAGGGACGGCCCTGGATTCAGGTCGGTCTGTCGCTCAAAACATGTTCCTCCTTGAAGATGATAGTGAGCACAGCAGCCAGCAGTGCGCCCATCCGGCCGGACTGTGACCACGGACGTGCATGCATGTTTCCCATCCGCCACCTAGCACTTCTGTACAGATCGTGCTTAGCTACAAACGACTGTGTTTTGTTAGGGGGGAGGAGAGCGTCCGTCCTCAACGGCGTCTAAACCACTTTTCTAATCGTGAGGTTCCACCCTCTCCCACAGGCAGCAATCAGACAGCGCAGTGGGACTGGGGTTCTGACAAAGCAATTAGCATATATGAATAGTCATGCCACAGGTACTCCACGACCAGCACTGCCTGTACACACCACTAATCAATGCTTAATCAATGTCTGATGGATAAGCAACTTAAAAAACTAAAGATCATTTGTTAATCTATCAGATTGTAATAAAATCGTTCCATTACTGTATTCCAGCCAGCTGTGAGGGTCTGTGCATGGATACAGTGTCTGACTCACAAAGGAGTGGTTACCACGGCTTTCACAACACAAGTACTGCACTCACTTGCTTCGCAGTCCGGCCCTGACGCTGTCCCTTCCTGCCCGGCTCCCTCTGTGTACGTGTAGGGTTCCTTGCCTCGTGCAGCTGCCCCAAGACCTCCTCTAGACGAAGCCGTCGCACCAGAGAGCATCGTCTACGACCTCGCTGACTGGAGGCCGTTGGCTGTGGTTGGCTGTTGTCTCTGCCCTCGCGCCGTAAGTCAGCCTGCCATCTCTCAGGCACCTGCGCTCCTGCAGCGCTCAATAAACCAAGGGTCCTACTGTTCAACGGAATGGTTTCCAAGTAAAAGTATTTCTAAGTGAGTAAAAGTACAGTATTTTATCTTCTTTTAAAATATCATTTACTGGTTTTAGAGAGAGAGGGGGAGAGAGAGAGAAACACTGGTCTGTCATTCCACTGATGTATGCCTCCGTTGATTGCTTCTTGTATGCGCTCTGACTGGAGAGTGAACCCCAAGTCTGGCTTGTGGAGAATGACACTCTAACCAACCAAGCTACCCAGCCAGAGCCAATTATTTCATATCTGAATCCATTTTTTTTTTTTTGCTTGGGTAGAGAGGATAGGTTGATATCCTATATAATAAAAGGCTAATATGCAAACAGACCAGAGGGCGGAATGACTGGTCGCTATGATGCACACTGATCACCAGGTCAACACAGGAGCTGCCCCCTGGAGGTCAATTTGCTCCCACAGCGGGGGGCACTGTTCAGCCAGAAGCTGGGCTCACAGCTGGCGAGTGCAGCGGTGTTTGCGGGAGCCTCTCCCACCTCTGAGACGGCACCAAGGACCCCTCGGGGGATGTCTGACTGCCCACGGGGATCAGGCCTAAGCTGGCAGGCAGACATCCCCCAAGGGGTCCCAGACTGCAAGAGGGTGCAGGCCGGGCTGAGAGGACCACCCCCCACCCCCACAGTGCACAAATTTCATGCACCAGGTCTCTAGTAGTGATATAAACAGAGAATGGGTTAACATAAGAAAGGAGTAATATTCCTGGGTTTATGGGCCATTCCTCATTAACTTTAACTGAGTCATTCTCTTAATACTATAAATTCTCCCAAATAAAAAATATCTGAAAGTATTGTTAATTACATACTTGGACTCCTGGGATGAAAGAAGCTAATAAATAGTTAATTTAACTAAGGGTAGCCTCAATGGCATTAAGGAAAAATGTCAAAGTTCCTTTTCCTATATAGGTAGGCCTAAGTTTTTCCAATGTGTCCTAAGATTTGCTCTCTAAAACTGGACCTATTAGCACCTCCTAACTACCCACACTTTCCTCAGCAGGGCACCAGTTCCTGTGGGGCACTGAGTGCTGTCAAAGGAGTCACACCTTTGGGGACCCCTGGACCTGCTGGGGTTGGACCCCAGCACCCCCCCCCCAGGCCCCTAGTGCACGAATGTCCTGCACCAGGCCTCTAGTTCCATCATAATTTTCTTACACTATTCTATTAATCTAATTCTTGACTAGTCTACATGATATGGTCAATTTGGCTTTTATTACTTAAGGATATATTGAAAACATGAGTCCTTTGGGAATATATGTACTAACATGGAACTTGTACATATAAGCAAATGAAAGATGCAAATTGTTTGGGAATCGTTAAAACAAATACTGGTTTTAAATGAATGAAAATTATATGCTTTTGAGTGCATGTATAAAAATAACCATATAAATCTATAATAATAATAAATGCATAATATGCAAATTAGACCAGACGTGCTTCTGGACGAACCTTCCGGACAAAGCCAGGGCTGTGAGGGACGCCTGGGTCCCGGGTGCCAGAGAGAAGCTGGTGCCAACAGCCAGGAGAAGGAAGGCCTGCTGTTGCATGAATTTCGTGCATCGGGCCTTTAATATATGTATAATAGAGTGAAATTATTTGTTTTGTTCTTTTATACGTCAAGAAATAGATCTCGTTCAGTGAATGAGAGGGAATGTCAGTATTCCTAAAGTTATTTTACTGTAACATTAAATATGAACAAAGTAAGCTATGTAGAAACACTTAGAAAAAATACTACCTTTCAGATACTTAATGTAATTGATATGTTTATAAAATCACTATTTACATAGCAAATGTGTTCAATTCTAGTTAAAAAAAATAATAGTTTCCAAAAACAGTAAAAAAAACCAAACTGTTTGAGACACAATAAGAAATAGTTAATTTTGGTCTAGGAAAGAGATTTTCCACCATCGTGCGACAAGACGTTTTAAAGCCTGCAGCACCTGGCTATCCAGTCAGGGGCACCGACCCCTTTCCCTTCGACCGTCAAGTAAATGATGGAAACAGCCCACACAATAGCCGTCTGGTGTGATTGAATCAAAATAAAACCGATTTCTCTTTTTTCTTTTTTTGTCAGATCGGCAAAAACTGTAATACATGCTCTGGCATGCCGCGGGCGGGACTCTAGTCATCAGCCTGTGTGCGCGAGATGAAAAGGGCCGGCCGGCCCTACTCCGCAATCATCTTTGCTTCTCTTATAAAAAGGAAGTTCTTTGTTCGATATCACAGTCACTATTTCTAAGTCGGCGCGTCTTTAAAAAGGGTGTTGACAGCACCTTCCAGTGCATCGGCATCTGCCCGCCTGGGCCCCCTGGGGGAGGAGGCTTTGGGCTCTGTAGGGAGGAGCCCTGGAGTGTAGGCTCCGCAGGGCCTTCGGCCTCATGGTCTGAGAGGCCAGGCAGTTCGTGTCTTACATGAGCAGGAGGGAGACGGAGGATGAACGAACGCCATTGGGTTTTCCGTCCTGGCCCGGGAACATGTAGAATCAACGACCCCTTCCCTTCTCTCGGGGCCTTTATTCTTCCCATCGGTCGTCAGGGCGCCCCTCACTGGGAGGCAGGCACCTCTATGCAGGGCCCACATCCATGCTCCCTAAGTCAGGGGTCATCAGTACAAACCTGTGAACGGCCTCACAGCCCGCAACGGACACCACACGCCGCTGCTCCCACACCCGGGAAACACGGGGCCTTTCTCACACCGGACGCGGACGCGGCTGCAGAGCTTTCCCACCACGTTTCTCCTGAACATGGAAGGAGGGGCTTTCTCACATCCTCTCAGCACAGAACCGCGGTCACCACACAGAAACACGACGGACCGTGAACCAGGTGCCGGGGGTACGCGGGCCAGCGCCACTGGTTTATCCCAGCCGATTCCATGCATTTCAGCCAGAGGGAAGGGCAGACCATCTGTGAGGCTCAACCGCGCTGTGATGTCGCCAGCAAGTGCGGAATTGTACTAACTTCACAAAATTTGAAAAAAAACCGTATCACTCCTAAAAACCAGGGTCTCCCCGACTCGGCGAGGCCTCTTGGAAAGAACAGTCACGTCTTACAACCCTGAGCAGACTTCAGTGTCACAACCCGGAAGAGAGACGACTGGGAAACGCAGAAGGCAACGCAAGCCCTCCTGTTCCTTAGCATCGAGCTGGGAGAGCTACTTTCCCAGGAAACGACGTCGACGTTAAAATGAACAGTTGCCCGCGGAGAAGGTAGCTACGCCATGGAGGGTGTCCCTGGACCGTGGTTACATGGAGGCGTGAGTCGTGGCTGATGTGACAGAACCCCTTTCCCGGGGCAGGGGCAGGTCACCAGCAGCAGCATCCGTGGCCGTGAGCCGCCTCAGCCCACAGCCGCGCGGCCACGCTAACTCCAGGTCTGGTCCACCTCTGCCTCCCCTCCTCCTCGGCAAACCACCCCCGGCCTCCTGGGCCAGCAAACGGTCTCCTTTTTGTTCTTTCTTAAAATATATATATTTATTGATTTCAGAGAGGAAGGGAGAGGGAGAGAGAGAGAAACATCAGTGATGAGAGTCATGGATTGGCTGCCTCCTGCACCCCCCGAGTGGGGATGGAGCCCACAACCGGGGATGTGCCCTGACCAGGAATCGAACCCTGACCTCCTGTTCATGGGTCTCTGCTCAGCCACTGAGCCACAGGGGGTGGGCTCCTTTTTGTACCTGTCCCGGGGTTGCCTTTCCCTTCACGTCGGGACAATTGTTCCAGGATCTGGAAACAGCTGCCCAGCACCCACGGTTTGAACAGCGTTACTTGGAATTGACTGGAATTGAGGGAAAGCGCTGGACCTGAGTCTCTTCCTCACCCTCCCGGGCCCCGTCCATCTCCTACGTGTCCTCACAGTGTGTATCCCAGGTGCAGTGGGATTGGAGGGGACAGGGCTCCCCTCTCTGCTCCGTGGACTCTGTAGTCTGGGTGCTGGGCAGCCCACTGCGTACCGGGCACATCTATTTCATTTGTGTCCCTGTAACATCCAGCTAACCTCTAACCCTGAGCTGGGACTTGTCAAATACAAATCCACTGAATGGTCATTAGCAATAAAAGCACAGCGAGTCCATCCAGTGCCCGATGTGCACAATAGCTAAGATTTACTAGTATGTAGTCCATGGATTGGCG